GATGGAACGAGGCGGGGACTTGATCTTTTTCCCAGAATGCCTTGGAAAACACACTGCAGCGTTCGATTCGCCTCATTTCGAGGCTTCCCTTGCGTGTAACACTGGTGTATTCAGGGAAGCTAATCGAACGCACCCATGGCATGGCATGGCATGTGAATGTGGCATGCACACCATTTGTTCATCCAATCCCTGCACAATGATGCACCACCCATGAAAATACCTGACAGCTGTTGTTTTCGACACATTCACATCGTTTGTGCATACACAAGGCTTCACTACGAGTGATACAAAGTCACTGATAAACAGCAGTTGGGATCACCGTCTTAAGCACTAAATGGTGCACTGAACTAATTCAAGTTCCACTGAAAATAATGTGAAATCATCAAAGTTTGGAGCCCCATGGCAGGCAACTTTAGTCCCTGAGGCCTTTAAAACAAAAAGAAATGTGTGGACCTTCAGATTTCAGTTGATTTTCAAATTTTAATAGGTTAATCAACAAATTTTGAAATTATCTGCTAAAAACAAACTCACCCCCAAAATGTGAACGTTCCCAAGTCTTCTCAGCAGCAATTATTCAAATGATATCACTCACCTTTCTCAGGCTCTTCTGACAAATTTTCAATCACATTTTGTCTACTTTGCCTCCAGATGGGTGCCCTTGAATCTACAGAGATGATACTGGGCCATACTTACACAATCCCACAATTTCTTGGCCCACACAGACCCCTCTTTTCGGGAAGAATTTGTAGGGGTACTTTTTAAGCGCTTCGGCCTGGGGGAGAATTTCCCTTGAATTGGGACAGTTCCTCATTTCCTTCACCAGCCTCTCATTTCCTGAGTAAATGTATTTTATGCTAAAATGTGCTATGAATTATGTATTTTGCCTTGTTTGAACAATGTATATCAAATTCTCTCAAAATCATATCAGAATTGAGGCCCCCCCAACTTTTTTTTAGGTATACTTTTGGAAGATAGAGGGCGCTTTTCATCTTGTCTCATTGACATGTCATTAAAAGTCAATGAGCAAAGTTTCTATGAAACAATAAGGGTCCAAAGAAAATCTTCCTTTTTCATCTCACAGCTCTGAACCTGGTAACACAGTGCACCCCTATGTACATATAGTTTCCAGACCAAACAGATCCCGACTGTGTTTAGGTCGGGTCAAACAGTCAAACAGTTCATCGCTGTAGTAAATGAATGGCCAATGTGAAGATGACCTAATCAAAACTAAAATTTCACGGACTTTTACAAACTTGGCCCAAACTGGTATTAATACATCAATGATCAGACGGGGTGAATGAATCATACAAGCGTAATGGGATTCACAGAAGGTATTTTCATGGAGTCTCCAGTTGTTGGGTGGACTATTGTGGGGCCGAGGATACGGAGGTGGTCCAGTAGACTGGCCCCCAGTTTGGGGCTAGGCTAGTTAATGAGGCTTAGGCCTAATCAGTAAACACAGAGATTTCAGACAAGTCTTCAGGGTCAAGGCTTAGGCCTATAGGGTTTGTGCTGTTCAAGTAACTTTGACTCTATGAGTCACCTTGTGTAAGATTTATATGGATGGGAGACCATATCAAAATTCTTAGATTCCAAATTACTGGGACTAGGGTTTGTGCACAGGGTGTCAAGCACCATCCGTACGTGAATTCTTTCATTTAATAATTATATGTGATCAATGTTGCCAATTTGCTAAATATTTGGACATGTTTGAAATATTTTATGACGTTATTTATCCCACTGTAATAAGCGAGCATCCACTGCTTTAGTAGAACTTTGGTGAGGCTGTAGTCATTTCCAGGGGTGGATCCAGGACTTTTTCGGGGGAGGGGGTCACACGACAAACATTGTGTCAGGACAGAGATATTTTTATGTCCCACTTTTGCGGACTGTAGTCACCTATTTGTAGCACTCACCTTGTGCGAATGAGAAAAATCTGCGGGATAGGCCTGCTATGTTGTTTTTAAATTCAGTTACACTGTATTTTCCCCATTTTTTTTTCCTTTTTGGTTTGACACCCCTTGGATTTGCACCTGATTTCTGTGGCATTCATTCCCAGAGCATGCAACAAAACCCATAGCTCCAGGGATAGTTACGTACTTCTAGGAATAGAAGGCTCCAATTTTTAAAAGAAGCATTCAGTAGTGTGAGTTTCAGACTTCCTTAGGCCTAGGCTTCTTTAAAGCAATGTGGTGGGACTTTTTTAGCTGGGGAAAATTAGAACTTTCTGCCAGGATTGCATGCCACAACTACATGTATCAAAGCCAACTTGACAACCACAGGGCCACAAACATATACATGAATAAGCCACTTACAAGTTAAATTTGAATAAAATCTGGTACACTGTGTTATCTGATTGCATAGAAACGTAACAATTTGAATTTCCCAGACTAAAGACACTGTTGCTATACCTCGTGATTCAGGGCAAGCTTTTGCATAGCCACCACCATCCCTGGAATGGACTGGTTCCTTTGTGGCGTTCTTATCCATTGAGAACAGTGTATTGTTGCAAGGCGTCTCTTATGTAACTAAGCAAAAGCTTGCCCCAAATCACGAGGTATAGAAACAGTGGTTTTAGTATGGAGAATTCAAGTTGTTATGCTCACGTGAATTTAAAGAACTCAGTGTACCAGATTTTATTCAAATTTAACTGGCAAAAGGCTCATTGTACATTTCAATGGAGGAATCTGTAATCTGTGAATCTCTAGTGATGTAAGAACCAAAGAAATGGCAGGGAAAGTTAAAGGCAGAAATGAGCATTCTGGTTTTGCTAAAATTCTGAAAAGTTTCTAGAGTATGGCACTGTAAGCCTTAGATTTTGCACAGTAGTGGGAGCCTTCTGTGGTACTTCTTGGTACCAGTCCTTTCACATGTAAAATGGTAGTCCTATCTGGGATACCTGCAGGTACCAGTCCTTTCTGATCTTGTCCCAATCATTTGACAACAGCTGAAAAATCTATACATCCATAGCCACCAGTATTGCTTCCAGCCACTAGCTAGCGGTTTGCATAGCCACCAGTGTTGCTTCCAGCCACTAGCTAGCGGTTTGCATAGCCACCGGTGTTGCTTCCAGCCACTAGCTAGCGGCTTCCATAGCCACCGGTGTTGCTTCCTGCCACTAGCTAGCTACTTCAATAGCCACCGGTGTTGCTTCCTGCCACTAGCAAGCGGCTTCCATGGCCATCGGTGTTGCTTCCTGCCACTAGCTAGCGACTTCCATAGCCACCGGTGTTGCTTCCTGCCACTAGCTTGCGACTTCCATAGCCACCGGTGTTGCTTTCAGCCACTAGCTAGCGGCTTCCATAGCCACAGGTGTTGCTTCCAGCGTCTAGCAAGCAGCTTCCATAGCCACAGGTTTTGCTTCCTGCCACTAGCTTGCGACTTCCATTACCACCGGTGTTGCTTCCAGCCACTAGCTAGCGGCTTCCATAGCCACGGGTGTTGCTTCCAGCCTCTAGCTAGCAGCTTCCATAGCCACCGGTGTTGCTTCCTGCCACTAGC